CTCAGCGGTCGTCATCTGCCCATCGGTCTGAATGAACACCAGCTCTCTATCAGCATGGCATCCTACGTTTCCGATGTCTATCTGAGTCAACGCTCCCAGCTGCCTTCATCTGTCCTTTGGTCTGGTTCAACACCGGATCTCTGTCAGCTTGGCATCCAAGGCATCCTACGATTTCGACGTCTAGTGAAGCCGTCTCACGTCCCACCGGCCCTCATCTGTCCTTCGATCGGTTTGAATATCAGCTCTCTGTCAGCAACATTGATAGCATGGCATCCTACGCCCCGACATGTAGCTGATTCGACGCTCCTAGCCACCATCATCTTCGGTCTGGTGGAACACCAGTTCTCTGTCAGGTAACTTAGACTGGTATACTGCCTTTATACGCATAAGAGTCCCACGGTGCATAAGGATTGCATAGAACATGGGACAGTTATGCGTAGAACGGCAGTATATGTCTGGCCGAAGCCATCCGCAATATCTGCTTCTCGGTGACATCGATTACTTAGCATCCATGGCATCCTACGATTTCAAGATATTGAAAATATCAAAAGTGCCAGAATTAAGTAAACAATTAAATGATTTATTTCAAGTTCGTAATTAAGTTTATGAAAGTTTAGAGATCTTCAATGCAGTCCCATAAACTTTACAACAATTGTAGGAACTTTGGAGAAGTTCTGAGGAATGAAAGGAAATGCTGAGAATTTCAGTGAAGCTCTATAAACAAACTGCAGGAACATAAGGGAAGTTAACACGCTGAAAATATGGGAAACTTATTGGAAGCTGTAAGAACCTCAAAGCGGTTCTTTTAGCATTCGAGACTTTTCAGGAACTTTTATGAAGTTCCTAGAATTTCAGAGAACTTCATAGGTGTCAAGCAAACTTGAGAAATTTAGAAAACTTGAGGGGTATTGTGCAAATTTTTAAGAAGTTCTAAGCACCTCAGAAAAGCTAGATAGGTGAAAATGTATAATCGTAAATTTAGATAAATTCAAGATAGTCCCATGATGTGGTGGAAAACAAATCGAGAACCCTTAAGATGTTCCGCGAATTTCAGGGAAGTACAGAGACCTTCAGAGAATTTTCAATAGAACTAAGTGCTTTATGGAAGCTTCGAGAACATCAAGACAGATCAGAGAATCAAAGTGCAGTTCAAATAATTTCAAGAAATATTAGAAACCTTAAAGAAGTTTCGAGAAACTCAGTGAATTTCCGAAAAGCAAAGCTCCGAGAGAATTCCTGGAAATTTTATGAACATCCGGAAAACGTGAGAGTATTTTAAGGGTGTTATATCATGGCGATTTCAAGAACTTTAAAAAATGATAAAATTTAGCTAAGTTGATTTGAGAACATCAACGAAGAACTTTTAGCAAGTAGCGGTATCTTTATGAAATTCCAGAGAACTAAATCTAGATATTTTTAGATAGTTTAAAGATATTCAGTGAAGTTTCGAGTACTTCGAGGACGATCAGATAGCTTCAGAATAATCCCATTAACTTAAGCAAATTTTCAGCGACTTACAAGGAGTTCCATGGAATTATAGGGTATTACAAGAATTATATGATTGATCCTAAAATGTCAGAAGCGTCAGGGAGTTATGAATATATTTCATATAATATATAAATAGAAAATTTGCTGGATTATTAAACAAATTTAGAAAACCTCAGGATAGCATAGATAAGCTCAGGAAAAAGCGAGTGTTAATAATGGTTATAATACTTAATGAACATTTTCGAAACTTCAAGGCAAATTAATTGATATCAGTAAAGTTGCGGGCTTTTCAAAAATACTGATAAAATCAGGGCAGTCTACAGAACTTTAAAGAAATTCAGTACTCGTTTAGGCACCAGACTATTGAAGAAGTTTTAAATTAGTGTCGATAATTTAAGGGAAGTTCTATGAACTTCAGAAAAATCTGGAGAACTTCAGTGGAAATCATAGAACTATATTAATTATTTCGTTCTAAGTCCATGAAAATTGCGGGAGCACAAAAGTTCCATAAATTCTCGAAAAACTTCGGAAACTTCACAGAAGGACAGTGGTCTTCAGAAACATTTTTTTTTTATTATTTATTTTTAAGTTAATTAATAACGAGAAAAATTAAATGGTTGTATTTTAAAATTTATTATTTTTTTCTTAAATATCCTTAGTAAGATTTTTTTTTTAAATTCTTTGAGACTTCCAGGTATTTTTAGGAAACAAAAATTTTCTGAGGATTCCCGGTTTTCCAGATTTTTGAAGTTAGTAGACACCGGACTAATACTGTGGGTTTGGTTATAAGGTTTCTACTGAATCTTTCGCTTTTAAGTTTCATATCGTACGTAAGTGTTTATGAGCTAATTATTTATTTGATGCACCTTCTTTTAGGTCACTTTTTAGTCACTATTTTTACAACTATAAGTCACTATTTGATAACTTATTTATTCAACGTGGTCACTAAAATCACTATTTCTGACAGCAGTGATCGCTACCAGGCCTGATTTCCCCTGGTTGTTTGGATTATAACATATTTTAAAATTTCTTCGGAAAATGTCCATGAGTCTGCAACCACCTACAATAAAGGGTGATACGGTCAAAATTTGGTCAATATCAACTTGACGTATTTCTTTCAATTTTGCATTTAAAAAACCTGAACACCCCTCATTTTGAAGGTGTGTGTGTGTGTAGAATGTTGCTCCTATTTTGATTTTGGAATTCACTATTCAGTTGTCAAAATGCCGTCCAAGCAAGAAGAGCAGCGTATCAAAATTTTGCTCGCGCATCGCGAAAATCCGAGCTACTCGCACGCAAAGTTGGCAAAATCGCTAAAAGTTGCCAAATCAACCGTTACAAATGTAATTAAAGTGTTTGGGGAACGTTTGTCGACAGCCAGGAAGTCTGGATCGGGGGGAAATCGAAAACCGGAAGCCGCTGAGACGACAAAGAGAGTTGCCGGTAGTTTCAAGCGAAACCCTAACCTCTCTCTCCGAGATGCCGCAAATAAGCTGGGTGTATCGTCTACAACCGTGCATCGAGCCAAAAAACGAGCTGGACTATCGACTTACAAGAAGGTAGTGACTCCAAATCGCGATGATAAACAAAATACGACGGCCAAAGCACGATCCCGGAGGCTGTACACGACGATGCTGACGAAGTTTGACTGCGTGGTGATGGACGACGAAACCTACGTCAAAGCCGACTACAAGCAGCTTCCGGGACAGGAGTTTTATACAGCAAAAGGAAGGGGAAAGGTAGCAGATGTTTTCAAGCACATGAAACTGTCAAAGTTCGCAAAGAAATATCTGGTTTGGCAAGCCATCTGTACCTGTGGCTTGAAAAGCAGCATTGTCATAGCTTCCGGGACTGTCAACCAAGAAATTTACGTGAAAGAGTGTTTGAATAAACGTCTGCTGCCTTTCCTGAAGAAACACGGTTGTTCCGTACTGTTTTGGCCGGATTTGGCATCTTGCCATTACGGTAAAAAGGCCATAAAGTGGTACGCCGCCAACAACGTGCAGGTGGTTCCCAAGGACAAGAACCCTCCCAACACGCCAGAGCTCCGCCCAATTGAGAAATACTGGGCTATTGTCAAGCGGAACCTAAAGAAGACCAAAAAAACTGCTAAGGGCGAGCAGCAGTTCAAGGCAAACTGGCTTTCTGCGGTGAAGAAGGTGGACAAGGTGGCTGTACAAAATCTGATGGCAGGGGTCAAGCGTAAGGCCCGGCAATTCGGATTTGGAAAAGCGGAAGCCTAACTGAATATTTTTCCTGAATTTTATACTAATTGAACTTGAAAAAGAAATTTAATTTGATTTTTTAAATAAACGATTTCACCGATTTACACGCGTTTTCCCTTGACCAAATTTTGACCGTATCACCCTTTAATATAAAAATTTAGAAACTTTTAGTTTCAAATTTCGAAATGCAACACATTATCTAAATTATTTTGGAACGTATAGGGGAAATGGATGTAATGTCGGCCTAAATGTCCCTAATTTGGGCCCATACATAAATTCAGCAATCGACTAAATTTTCAATATCGAACAAACATATCCATTAGTACCGTCCCAATGACGCGTTCATCTAGATAAAATTGATAAATAGCAGATTCCTAGCGATGGGCCCAATCTTAGATCCATAGGCCAACATTAGAGCCATTTCCCGTACCATTTGCCTCGCTTTTGGAGCCGAATAAATTTTCAATTACTTTTATTTCCATTTGAAAACGTTTTCTTGAGTCGAACGTGTGAAAAACGCATGATCTCCTATACCAAACAACATGTGAAAAGTTCCATCCACCTAGGAGGTTTCTAACTCGTTCGCTCTTTGCTTTGATTTGACGCAAGGGTCAGGGTACAGAATATCTAGTTCAAGCGTCTTCCGACAAGATCTGCCCAAGCTTTCGCGGCCGCTCATTAAACGAAACTCAAATAATTGTCCAATTTCCTATTTCACCTTCCGTACCATGGCTAATTTGAACTTGTTCAAGCTGAACCTGAACCACATAATCAATCGCTAGCCTGCCTGAATGTCATCACTTTTCATCCGCCGAGTTTGCACCCATATTAGAGACATTAGCAATTTAGTATACCCCCTAACCATAGACGCTAGACGCAGCCGTAACCTTTTACTAACCGAGTGTTTCTTCGCATATTTATCTGCTTTGCAATTCCCATTCTACATGCCGCCGTCGTAAAACTAGCATAAGCTTTTGGTGAGTTTCCCATCATCCGACCCGAGTTTGAACGATTTTTACCTTGCTTCCTCTACCCCTCCTTCCTTTCCATTCCTCTCCTCCTGTACAGCCATAACTCTGGTCTGTATATTCAATTGAATTGACTCCGGTAGACAAATTTAGACAAGATGATGACACCTGTTTTTTCTCCCTAATATGGATTGCGTGTTTTCCTTCTCTTAGTAGTGATTGACTGCCAACTGATAGTTGTTGTACACGTTTGTTCACTTGTTTCATTCCATTTTCCCTTGGCACAAATTATTCCATCAACCAACAACATCAACAACAGTACGAGAGCAGCCAGCGGAAGCGGGAGGAGAAGAATCGCGCCCGGCTCAAAGAGAAAGAGCACCGCTTCGATGGCCACCTGCGGCGTGAAACGTGGTTCCATCCGGAAGGTGGGTCCCGGGTGCACCGGACCGCGCCACTAGATCCGATGGCCGGCCGGACTGGGGACACCAGCGAGGAAGAGGAGGAGGAACTGCGCCAGCTCGATTCGATCGAGCTGAACAAGCGTTTCATCGTGAGCTTCCTGCACGTGCTCGGCAAGCTGATTACGAAAACCGGGATGGAATCGTTTACGCCGTGTGCGATTCAAATGCTGCGGGAGTTTCGGGCACTGATCCAGCACTCGCCGATTGCGGTCACCTCGCACCGGTTGCTGCAGCTGATGTCGCTGAACATGTTCGCCATCGAGATCACCAAGTTGAAAGGTAAGTGAGAGCCTCTTTTCTGTTTCCTTTATATTGATTCTACTTTGGGAGGAGCAATTAATTGTTCCTCACTACGCTTATGGCTGGAGAATAGCAGAACAATCACCTGCGGGGTGTGCATCATATGCAATTAATCACCCGTGCCAATTAAAAGAAAGGAATCGTGACTGCTGGTGTCGTCGTTGTCGCTAGCAATGTTGCCAATGGGGCGGACTCGTGGTAATCGTCCACTAGTTCCTAATTGAATATCGCTGCCATCCCTGTCCCAGTCAGTCCCATCAAAGATGATGAATTGTTCCCTCTGGTCGACGCGCGCGCCCAACATTCTGATCCCACGTTACACCGAACAGAAGTAGAGAAGATGCTGCGCGGCCTAAGCTTGTTGGACAGGGGGTAGGTAAATCGCGCTGAATGAACTATTATAGTCGCGCATCTTGGTGACAGTGTGAAAAATGTTGTTTGTCGGTTCATGCGTCCGTCCATCCATCCATCCATTACCTAACTGGTCGATTTGAAGGGAAGGCTAAAATTAGAAATTCCTCATGATTTGTGCTCATGTCAACTGGACCCCAGACTGCGGCAGTTGACGTGACGTGTGGTTCATCCTGTCCCAGCCGCGCTCGAACACTCTAATCGATGACAGGGTCGACTCGCATCGTTCCGGAGTTGATAGATAGGTTGAGTCTAGGTCCGAGTAGTCGATGTCGTCCGAGTGAGATGATGATGAATCACCTGAGAATGGATCGCCGTCGTGCGCGGGTCAAGCTGATGCATCACTATAGCGCAGTGCAGCTACCTCTAGCTTCTTGCATCAATGGGGGAAGATAGTTTGTTTTGCTGCCCCCCGTAGTGAATCATTGCGGTTTTATTAATGTGTTCGGCTCATCGCTGTCAGCCAGCTGCTGCTGCCCTCATCGCTTTGAGAAATTGACGCGAGCCGCAAAGATTTTCATACCCGCCAGCCTGAAAATAATGGGTTGGCGAAAAAAATACTGACACCTAAAAACCCTCCAAATCTCGATTAGAGCCAGTTGACACCTAGCCCTTACTGTGTACGGACGAGTAATACTACGGCAGAGGAAAAAGTTGTGTTTTTTTTACTTTCTCCGGACACCCGTCCGATGAGTTTTGCTACTCTTTTCCGCACACAACACAAACATGGCCAACCGCCAACTATGCGGGATTGACTTCAGTGTCATGCCAGCAAAACCCAAACTGTCCCGAGTGGACGATTTCATCGCGAAAGATGTTCAGCTTGATTGGAGCAAAGTGCGAGGATTGCAGCTCAACAACATCACATCGTACGTATAATAGAATCTGCAGAACAATTCGCTGAAGAGCACAACCTCAAGCACACGATGGAGTACAAAGACATCACCTACCGTATTCCGTTCTTCATTGCCGATGGAGCAACGGATGTTAAGCTGTATGATTTGCCGTTTGGTATGCCAAACCATATTATCGCGGAACAGATGACGCAGTTTGGTGAGGTGTTGCTTTTATCGACAACTGGAGGAACCTTTTCAACAAAGTTCCTAATGGAGTGAGAATAGTTCGAATGCGCATTTCTAAACCCATTCCGTCGTATGTGACAATATCCGCAGATATCTCACATATGACCCTCGTCACACACAAAAACCAGATCCCCACTTGCCGTCACTGCAACCGAAGGGTGCACTACACCATGAAGTGCTCCGAATATGCAAAATCATTGCATCAAAAAACTGAATTCACTGGAGGCACCAATTGAAACTGGACATCCAACAACTGCAATAAGTATTTCTAGGGACATATCGCCAAGTGAACGTTTCGCTTCGATCGAGGACGAAATTCCAATGCCAGTCCTCACTCCAGCCAACACCGAAACTGATGCTGAGACGTGCTTCGCTGCTGCTACTGCTGTTGTTGATAATTTCGTTGCTGCTGTTACTGCTCACTCCGCTACTGCTGTTGCTGCCTCCCCGACGGGACAGCGGTCATCTCAACTCGTCCAAGAAGTGATTGATGTGAGTGAGAAAATTCTCAAGTCACCTAACCGGGACCAGCGAGAGATCTCCAATGAAAATCAACGCACCCGTAACCATAATTCGGAATCTGCATTCAAACGACCGGGATCACCCAAGACTACCGAAAGCAAGAGGCCTTCCAGGTCTAAAAATCTTCATTAAAATGAATCTTAAAAGCTACAACATTTGTACCATAAATATAAACAATATTACAAACCCCACGAAACTCGCTGCTTTGCGAACATTTATACGATCAGCTGACCTTGACGTAATATTCCTGCAGGAGGTGGAAAATATGCTGTTGGAGTTACCTGGATTTGACATGATTTTCAATGTGGATGAGTGACGAAGGGGAACTGGAATTGCAGTCAAGCAGCTGCTCCAATACCAAAATGTGCATCGTAGTCTAGATTCCCGTTTGATCTCTCTCCAGATAGGGCAGGTCACCTTTGTGAATGTTTATGCTCCATCTGGTTCACCGTGAAAGCTTCTTTAATTCCATCGTGCCATTTTACTTGCAACGGGCATCTAATTATATAATATTTGGAGGTGACTTCAATTGCGTGGTGAACGAAAGTGATGCAATCGGCTCCGGTAACCAGAGTCCAACGTTGAAACGATTGATGACTTCAATGAAACTCACCGATACGTGGACACATCTGAATGGAACTCGAGTAGAATATTCATTACTGCGACACGATTCTACGTCACGATTGGACAGGATTCTGGTAGGCGCAACCATGCGGGGATGACTAAGGAATGCTTACTTTTGCACTACTGCTTTCACCGATCACAAGGCTTACATCGTACGGATAGTTTTACCGGACCTTGGCACATCAGCTGGTAGAGGTGTGTGGAGTCTTTTTACGAAAGTTTTGGACGAACCTGAAGCACTCCCCGAACTTGAACGAAAATTGATATACTGGGTCCGAAACAGAAGGCATTATGCAACATGGATAGATTGGTGGATCACTTTTTGTAAGCCGAAACTGATTTCCTTTCTTAAATGGAAAACATCGCTGCTCTTCAACGATTTTCGTGGAACCATGGAAATTTATCAAACTCAGCTTTCGCACGTGGTTAATCGACTTCCTGGAAATCCGCACGAACGTTCTAACATCAATCGCATCAAGGGCCAAATTCTTCAACTACAGCGAAATTTCTCAACAAAGCTCGGAAGAAACAATTCATCTTATATAGGTGGTGAGCAGACAAGCCTGTTTTCATCTAAACGAGCGGTCAACACGCAAAGCACGAACAAGCATCAACTTGTTCGAACTTCGAGAAGGCAACGTTACCAAGGATATAAATGAAATTCATGCCGAAGTCTCCCGTTTCTTCAATCAACTGTATGCTGCTGGTGAAACCTCTAATACTGCGAGGTTCTTCCCGACTAGAAGTATCCCAAATGATATCGAGGAAAACATATCGATCATGAGAAATGCTGAGGAGGAGGAGGTCTTCGCTGCAATTAAATCCCCAGGCATTGACGGATTACCCAAGGAATTTTACCTGAAATGCTGGACGATAATTTCGAGGGAATTCACACTTGTCATAAACGACGCCTTGTCAGGTAACGCTCCCAAAAACTTTCTTGCAGGTATATTAGTTAGTTTCGTTTGATCTGGACCACGCGTTTGATCGCGTTGATCATTCATTTCTTCAGCAAACAATGTTAAGAATGAATTTCAATCCGGCACTACTAGAACTCATCAAAAAGTTCATGGAGAATTCTTTTTCGAGGATATTAGTGAATCCAGCGTTCGGTCCGTCAAGGAGATCCCTTGTCAATGTTGCTTTTTGTACTGTATATGCAACCTCTATTGGACGTATTAAGGCGAGCTTTTCCTGGTGTGATAATTAATGCTTACGCAGATGACATCTCGATGTTCCTGGAAAACGAAGGAATGTTAGTCTCTGAGCTGTTCACAAACTTTGGTGAAGAAGCAGGAGCGATTCTCAACCGAAGCAAAACTGTGGGTTTAATGAAAGGCAACACTAACTGAAGCTACCGAGTGGCTCTCAATTGAGAACCACGTCAAGGTCCTAGGTATCGAACTGCCAGAGATCTCAACTGGAATTCGATCTTATCGGGTATGAAACAGCGGATTTGGGAACAAAGTCCCAGAAACTTGCCACTTACTCTAAGAGTGACACTACTAAACACGTATCCCAAGTAGCATTTCTTGTTTTATTGCACTCTATTAGTGGTTATTGAGATCAATTTCATAAAACCGCCAATAAAATAATAGCTCCAGCACAACCTTTTGATAACCGCTATAAGATCGTCATACAGCTTAGTGGACCACTCTTGATAAGGTTTATAAAGCATGTTTGAGAATCATAATAAAGCTGTCTTAAAACCTTTTGTCAGGAAGCCTCATACTCTACAAAAGGTTCTCATAGCCTCTATAAGAGTAATATTGTATCCAAGCAGTTTTATTACGCTTTGGTGAAAATCAGTTATAAAGCCAATTTAATTTTTATTGGCTTCAAAGCAACCGCCATAAATTAGCTTGTTGTTGTTCTGTTCTGCTGAAACTTTTTTTCCAAATGGAAATCTTTAGCGGTAAAAATATGTTTGAGTGTTGGTGTCAAGATCACCATTCCATCAATTTTGTTTCATGGCGACATTAGTGAAATTTTTAAAGAAAATATATGACTTTTTATAAGTTCCAAAACATATGCGCTTGAAATGTTATCGTGTATATTGAGATAATATGAGCGTTAAATAAATGCGCCTCCAAAATAATTCAAATTAACAAAAAAGATTGTTTCAGAAATCAAATGAATTTGATGGAATTACCTTAATTTTACAGAAAATTGATCTCAATACATAAATTCATACCAATGCACACTGGAAATCATTTCGGATCTCTTATTTAGCCATTATTTTATTGAAATTTCTTGGATTTTATTCCAAGGCTAATGGCATTTTCATAATGACAATATGGCGACAGAGGACAGCAGGCAAGAAAAACACCAAGCGCAATT